CCAAACCACAAAACCAAACATACAAAAAAGTCACCTTTAAAATCCCCTTGATGAATTTCAGGTCACAGCTTATTGGTGGTTGGCTTTGTGCCAGTCAGGGTTTTACATTTCCTCCACCAAGAAGGAAAACCTTTCCACCACCAAAGTTGATGCCAAAACCTAAACCTCTGGCCAAAGCTATTTTCCCTACAATAACATCTCCCTTGCTTACTCTTTTACAGAGCAACTCCTTAACTGCTTTCAGAAATATTCTGGGTATTTGCTTCTCTCTGGTGTATTTTAATTTGCCCTTTTTATCTCTGTGTTGTTTTTCAGCATTCTTTCCTCAGTTAGCTGTTCACATTTGATCCTCATAATTCCCTGGATGTTTTCATTATAAAAAAAAAAAAGAAATAACGAAAAAAAGAAAAGAAAAAGTGAAAAAAAATCTCCCCTTGGATAGAAAAGATCACAAATAAGAGGTTTTACCTGGTCAAAAGAGCATTGAAAAATCTGAATTTTGTATGGGAAGGGTCATATGTATCATATGTATGTCATATGATACATACATATGTATGTATGTATCATACATACATACAAATGTATGTAGACCATACAAGGGTCTACATGTATTTGTAGAACACAAATACAAAACAAAGCAGTTTTGATGCAGTTGCTGAAACTATAACCAAGATCAGAAAAAGGTTAGAAAATGAAATGTAATTAGGACAAGGTTTGGGGGTTTTGAACACTTTTTTGGCAAACACAACCTTCATGGGGCAGGGGGATGGCAGAAAAGCTGCATGGTGGAGAGCCTTAGGCTTGGCTTGGGGAAGCACTTGCCATGTCTGTGACCCTCCTCTGCAAAGCCCAAAGGTGATCCCAGTTTGACACGAGGAAAAGCTGCTCCGTGGGAGCACAGGGTGAGGGAAAGCACTACAGGCATTTAAAAAATAAGATATTTCCACAGGTATAGTCTATGGAAACCTTTTCCAAAAAACAGTCATTACTTCTATGGCCCTTATCAGCAAAACAGGGAATTCCTGCAACAAAATTTATGTGAAATGAATTTAGAACAAATTAAAGAAAGGCATTTTTTAGCTGATAGGCACATAGAAAATAGTGCTTCAGGCACTTTAGGTAAATTTTGTGGCTGAATAATTTTAGAGTTGATGGTTATACATGCAGTTACTGCACATACCAAGTTTAGGATAATTAAGATAAGGGTGATTAAATGTCATTCTCATATAGTATAAATTAAATTGTCAAAAGTCAGGAGGTAGTATTTTCCTCCAAAGTTTTTTGTTGCACACTGTATATTTTTAGGGAATATTAAAATATGTTCACCTGTTTCTGGAAGCCTCTGCTTCTTGGCTGCAGCTGGTAACAGCAGCGTGGGTCACTGATACCATCTGGCATTGGATTACTTTTGGTGTCTGTGGTGCAAACACACCTCTGCAGGAATTTGCAGTGCCACCATATATTGCACGGTGTATGTATTCTAAAGAATGCTAAAATACCCACGTAGCCATCTTCAGCACATGGGAAATTTCCTGCTTCGGTGTTGTGTAAGCTCTGGAAGCTTTCCTGCATTGAGTATTCAGAACAAGCGCTGTGAGCATTGGCGGGGAGATCTGAGGGAAGCAGAGTGCTGCCACCAGCCCTTTCTGCTGCCTTAATGAGCTCCCAGCCCTGCACAGGGACAATTCCCTGGGCTTCCCGTGCCCAGGCTGGCACGGCTGGCACCGGCTGCTGCTGCTGTGGGCAGCTCACACAGAGCAGGTTTCACTGCTGTACCTCTGTGCAGTGATTGCGCTGTCACCGGGCCCTGCTCTGCTCTGCGGACCCGTGTGCCCCTCTGAGGGGGT